CTTATGTAATTTCTGCGTAAATTACTTTGGTGCTAGGCAGCAATTGAATGATCTTAATGTTACATATGCACTGTTGCATCCTGCTGCTGAATGGGTGAAAAAAATTCACCAAAGCTTCATCCGGCGGAGCAAAAAGATTGTATTTGTTGATGCTCGGCATTTTATTTATGCTGCTCGACAACACTGGCATACCGAATTACTTTTTGTTGGTTTGAAGGTTCTTGAAACTCTCGAGTCCATCTATAAGTCGGCTGCAACTTCAATGTCTCATTTCCGGCAAAGCATTTTCCTTCTAAACATATATGAGATTGCTAAATTTTTAAGTGAGTCCAAGGAGCTTGATTCTAAGAGTTCTCAGTGGAGACTACGGAATTTCTTGACACTGTCAACAAAATACTTTGAGATAGCCTTTCCCCTTGACCCCCGACAATCGTTGATGGAGAATATCATTTCTCTAAGGAGAACCGAGCTTTCCCGTGACTTGTTGCAAGAATTCATCCATCAAGATATTAACACCAGAGGTCCTTTGAGCTATGGACAGATTGGAAGAGTGATGATCATATGGCTTGCCTCCGGAAAACTATCTGAAGATTTGTACAAGAAAATTGTTGGAAGAGTTCCAACAGAATATCATTCATGGAAATCATTCATGGAAATTCTCAGCTGCATTAGAGCGACAAAAATGGAAGAATATCAATCAGGCAATGCTTGTGGAGGCAAAATTTCCAAGTCTCATTTAGCTAAAGATATTGTTCGAAGTGAAGCTATGGAGGTTACATTAGTTGAGAAATTTTATGAAGCATTACAAGATACCTATAAGGTGAATTGGATCAAATTAAGTGACTATATCTCCCCGAGTTGTTTCTTGTATCTTGTTGAGCGTTTTCTGATTTTGGTGTCACAGTGTAAAGGGTTCTTTTTCACTACAAAATCATCATTTGTGGAATGGCTGATTTCCGAGCAGTCTGAGGTCCTACACACTTCGAAGGTTGCTATTAACCAACAGTCTTTGGAAGAGTTTTATCATTCTGTTCTTATGATGGTACAACAATTCCTTTCCAATAAAGGCAATACAGCTCTTTGGATTACACGATCGGGGATAAATTTTGAGGCATACTATAAGGTATTGGTTATGAGATTGGTTGTTGTCCTATGTTTGCTGTGTGTGAACACTGGGAAATACTATGATGTTCTTTCCTTTGTGCTCAGAAACAACGATGTTAGGAACCAGCTTCCAAAGTATTTCTATGGCATTCTTTTTCCATGTTTGAAGCGGAGGTACTTCCAGATCAGTGAAATCGGGGAAGCATTTCAAATAGCTGGAGATCCTCTTTTGTGTGTTAACCTGCGTGAGAATACCACCAGAAAGCTTCCTAATGTCATTCATGTGCAGTTGGGAACAACCTGCAATATAGAAGACATTTTTGACTTGCTGTTTCCCGCTAGAAATGAGTCACAAGCTCCTAATTCCACAGTTTCAGAAGTCATGACTAATCCGGATGCTACTTCTTCCTCGGATTGTTCTGACCAACCAAAGATTTTGACAGTGCCATGTTCTGAAGTCTCTCCTCCGTCGGAGCAGAATCTGCAACAAGTGAATTGGGACTTGTTTCAAGAAGTATCTGATTTTTTGAAGCTTATTGGCAGTGAAAACAATGGAACTACCTCGACTGTCGCTCAGAAGATGAAGGTAATCCTAGTTCTCTTTAATTATAACTTGGAACTTGTAAAGGTGTCTGCTAGGTAAGGATTAAATTATTACAGTACTATTAGGCATAATACGCGTAAATAGACACTCAACCTGGCCTTTAGATGGCAAGTAAAGAACTCCAACTTTGAAAGTGTACATCTAAACGCCTCAACTCAAATTGATTCCACTGTGTCAGTTGAACACTCAACTTACAAAATGATAATCTACACATGCATCTCCAAAATTTATGTGTCAATGATAATCTACACATGCATCTCCAAAATTTATATGTCACGTAGTGTCAGGTGTCCATGAGACATAGTGGGAAAGAGTTGGAGTGTTTACTTATGTGACCGAGTTAATGTCTCTAGACGTGACTCTCAATGTTGGAGTGCTTACTTGCCCGCAGTGGCCAAGTTTGAGTGTCTGTTTATGAATTATTATTATTAAGGTACTAAACTTATTTTTTTTTAGGAGGAAATAAATATGCACATAAAGTTCTTGACTGCTGCCATTACTCTGCCTGAGCTGAAGAAGCCTGACGCTGGTGAGGACATGGCTGAGGAAGTGCAACGTATGCTTCAAGAGCTGCAACAGCTCCATTCATTTTTGGATACGAGGTATGATGCTTTCTTACCATCGTGCCACTTGCATTTATAGGTCGCTCTTGTTTAGATGTACACTTCCAAAGTTGTTTAGGACGTTCAAAATATATCCATTTCGAAAAGTTTCTTTCATGCTAAAAGCATTCCATCTTAGGAACTATGGCTTTAGCTCCTGATGTAATCCTTTCTTGAGCCCTTTTCTTTTATGTAATGTCCTATCGGAAACAACATCTCTACCTCCACAACGTAAGGGGTAGGGCTGCATACATACCACCCTCCCTAGACCCCACTTGTTTGATTACACTGGTATGTCATTGTTGTCATCCTATTAACCAATGTTTTGTTCCAACAACTTGTCATCACGTTTACACATACATTTTTAATTGTGTTGAGGCAATAGTTCCATTTCTTTCTCTTTTTTTGGAATAAAAACTCTTGATGATGAATTGTTGCATTGATGCTATACAGCAACTTGGAAGTAGCAAAAGCTGAACAACTATTGAAGAGTTTGCTGTCAAGAAAGCCCAAGATTGAAGCTTTATTGAGTCAATGCATTGTACCAACAACATTGAAGGATTCATGTGAGGAACAAGGTAATACAGTGTGTGTTGAAGATGAAGAGATAGAGTCACCGTCTATCGCGGCCTATTCTGAAAGCAGTAACAAGGCTACTGAAAAGAAGCAGCCAAAGGGGAAGGCCAAGGCCAAGTCCAAAAAATCTAGAAAGGGAAAAGGAAAAAAGTAGTAAATCATGCTAACAATATAGTCCTCACTTTTATGATTTTCTTCACTTTTTATGCAATCTTGTTGCTTTGAATGCAAGGAATTAAGGTGAAGTGAACTCTTTTATGTTCTTGACATGTTTTGTGTTATAAATGTGATATGGGCTGATTTACTCCAATGTCATTTTTTAGGTTGCTAATGTTTACTCGTATGTTGTTCAACCTCACAGATAAAACATTAGCTTGTCATCTATGGTCTAATATTTTCTCATAAGATATTCAGTTTACTCAAAAAGATCCATAATTTGCGAGAGATTGTTTTATTGTGATATCAAGATAGTATATTCAACTTAAGATTCATTTATTTGTAGTATATTGTACTTAGGAAATAGGACTAATGCATATGTAGCCTAGTCCTAGTTATAGTCTAGTTGGAAATCTAGTAGCCAAAGTATCATAAAACTCTCATGTACTTGGTGTGTTGTACTTTCTTTTGGAGGCTAAAATACTTGTGATTCTCTTCTTTTTTTGTTGTTGCTTGGTTTGAATATATATAAAAGGAAAAAATGTTTGAAATATATCCGAACTTTGACTGAAATTGTTGTAACAATACCAAGCTTTGGGAAGAACCTTTTACCCCTACACTATTTAATAGTGTATGTTAAAGGTATATATGTGCCCACGTGGACATCATAAATATTGCATCATTATAAATAGTAACTTGTCCACGTGGGCACATATATATCTTTAAAATACATTATTAAATAATGCAGGGGTAATAGGTCCTGCTCAAAGTTTGAAATTGTTACAACAATTTCGATCTTCAAATATATTTCGAACCCTTTTCTCTATATAAAAACATGAGTGAGTAAACGGTATACGTGGCATCTAATTTTGATATATATATATATATATCATACGTGCAAAAAAGGGAATTGTACTTTAATCCCTAGAAACGATTGCTTTTCATTATATATAAAATCATGATCACTATATCAAAAATGATTTTTATTGGCAATTATTTAACGATAATTAGTACTCTTTGTAAATATCTCTTAAGTCTATAACAACATTAATTGGATATTAATGTTAGTAAAGACTTTAGCACTTTTTACTCTTTATTTATTGTCGCTGAAAACTGTTTTTATCGTAGTGTTCAATCTATTTGATTTAATATTGGTATTTGCATAGTAATGGAAATCAACAATGATCGGCCATCTAGAATCTAAATAAACAACAACACAATTTGTCTATGTCAACTGTCCCAAATTATTTATAAAAAGGAAATACCCACCATGAACATGTTTATTAATAAAAAACATAAATTTATCTGTTTTATAATGTTAATATCTCACGTGTTATGTTGACCCAAACACAAGCAAGAAGTTTTTTTTCTTTTTTGTAAAGTTAATATCTCATTACCTCATATACTTTTGTTGTTATATATATATATATATATATATATATTGGTTGAAAACGTGACAATAAAATTTTAAAATTTCTATTTTCTAATTTCCCTTGTTGTCTTGTTTGGCTAGCTGTTTAATTGAGAAAGAAAGATTAATGTCTATCTAATCATCCATAATCCCAAATTTTTATTTTATATTTAAAAAAAGCTTAAGGGTTATTGGTGAGAAAATATATATATTTTGGGTACAATTGGTGATTATATATAGCAGCACCACATCTCTGACCCTAACTAAACCAACTAAATATAATAACCTAAGGGTGTGTTTGGTATGAATGAAGGAACCATTTTTCTGAAATGTTTTTGGATTTTTCCGGTATTTTGTTGGGCAATACTTTTGAAAAAAGTATAATATATAAACGTGTTTTTTAACTTAGCTTCAACTGACATTTATGTCCTTCAACTTTAAGTGTCCACAAGTAAGCTTATAGAAAATTGAACAAATAGACACATTCGTCCTATATAATGTCCTACATGGCAATTTCTTATCCTATGTGGCGTCCTACATGTATTATGTCATGTAGGACGTGTGTGTCTACTTGTCCATTTTATACAAGTTTAAGTGTCTACATGTACACATCCAAAGTTGGAGGGCATAGATGTTAGCCGAAGCCAAGTTAAAGGCTTATTTATGTATGACATAATACATAAATGTGCCCTTTTACTTGACTTCAACTGACATCTATGCCCTTCAACTTTGGGTGTGCACAAGTAAACACTTAAACTTGTATAAGATTGAACAAATAGACACATCCATCTTACGTGGCGTCCTACATGTGTTATGCCATATAAGACGAATGTGTCTATTTGTTCAGTTTATACAAGCTTAGGTGTCTACTTGTGCACACCCAAAGTTAGAGGGCATAGATACTAAATGAAGTCAAGTTAAAATGGCGTATTTATGTGTTATACTGTATTATGTCATGCCATATATAAATGTGTCATTTACTTTAGCTTCAACTAACATCTATGTTCTTCAACTTTGGAAATGCACACGTAGACACTTGGACTTGTGTAAATTGAACAAGTAGACATACAAATCCTACGTGAAATAATACATATAAAAAACAGATTACCATGTAGGATGTTATGTAAAACACATGTGTCTATTTATTCAACTATGTCAAGTAAAAATTCCTACTTATGCACACCCAAAGTTTGGAGGACATAGATGCTATCAAGTCAAGTAAAAGACACGTTTATATATTATACCTAAATTTTAACACACCAAATACGATGTATAGTTAGCAATTAAGAATTCCACATAACTAATACATGTTCAAATTATTAAAAAGAATACATAAATAACTAATTCTCGTATAACTCTAATCAACAACCAAACCAGCAGTAAAATGTTCAATGAATTTTCTTTTGTAATTAGTTACCAAATGAAAAACAATAAAATATTTAAACCAATTAAATATCTCTAATTAAAGTCAAATCAAAATCATTCACTTTCCTTCCTCTTTCCTATAACTTCCATTCTTCTCCCCACCTCCATTTCTCTGTATTTTCCTTCTGCTATATATAAATCACTCTCACTTCTCCACTTTTTTTCAAACTAAAAATTTCCCATTTCTCACACAATTTCTTGCCCATAAATTAAATTACTACAAAAATGTCAGATTTCAACTTCGACAGTACTTGTACTTCTCCATATATAAGTGCACCTTCAAGTCCTCAACATTTTGGTACAACATTCTTTTTTAGTGCTCCTACTAGCCCTACTCGTATCTCCGCCCTCTACGGAGATACTAACGTTACTCATGATAATGATAATGATAATGATGATGATACAAATGATTTCGCTTTTGAATTTAGCGGACATGAAATAATGGAGAAAAGTACAATAGCAGCTGACGAGTTATTTGATGGCGGGAAAATCAAGCTAAATCCAGTAATAGTACCCATTGAGTCGCCAAAAATGAAACAAAAGAACAAAGATATTATAAATTCTCAATTAAATTCTTCTATGAGAGTATCAGATCTTTTGTTAATCAAGGAAAAAGATGAAACTATTGATGATACGGAAAAAACAGAGTCCTCTGTTTCATCATTGATATCGTTATGGAACAGAAGATGGAAATTGAAAGACTTATTGTTGTTTAGAAGTGCTTCTGAGAGTCGAGCTAGTAGTAATACGGAAGAGATGAGTAAGTACGCGTTGGTGAAGAAAGCTCGTGAAGAAGATGTTAAGAAGGAAGGATCGAGCTCGAGCTCGAGGAGGAGGAAGATGGGATCAAATTCGGCTCATGAATTGCATTATAAGATGAAGAGGGAGGTGTTGAAAGATATGAAGAAGAAAACATTTTTACCATATAAGCAAAGTGTTCTTGGTTGGCATGGTTGTTATGGTCTTGATGATACAATTTCAATGTACATGTCTCCTCGTTAGTAGTTTATAATATGATTATTTACATGTGTAATTATATATTTGTTTGATATATACATTTTCGCTTGCCACAGAATTTGAACTTGATGAGTTTAACTTCTAAGGTTATTAGCGTTGAACTCGTTTTGATAACAAGTTGTGAATAATATTTCAAAAGGAAGTGTCATTATTGATTATTAGAAAGAACTATGCTTTAACTTTATTGAGCTCGTAAAGAGTTGGTAAAAAAATGGAAATATGTAATTGAACATATTTCACTACTATATATATATTATTATTACATGTATTAATTATGAGTTTTCTACGTATCTTACACTTAAATACATATATTTTTGCTATCAGATACATAAAAATAGGGAGAGAGGCGAGAGAGATTCGTATGTATTTCAAATACATGTGAATCACACTAGATATACATTAGATACATGTATCTGTATGTATCTGAAGTGATTCACATGTATCTAGGATACTAGATACATGGAAGAGTGACAAGTGAGATGGGAGAGAGGCGACGGTGGCGAGCGAGATTTGTTATGTATCTTACATAGGTGTGAATTCACTTGGATATGATGTATCTAAAACAAATTACATCTAAATTTGACCTATGTATCTGAGATACATGTATTTGGAGGCATCAAAATCTGATTAGATGCGTAATATTGCAAACTAGAATGTATATAAGTAATTAACTCTTAAAGTAGTGAGATTTATGTAAATTCCCTTTTATCTTTTATCTTTTCAAATTTAAGAGACTAACTCAATAAAAAATTATATGCATACTCATATATCAAGTTGCAAAATGATGTGACCTCATACATTTCAATCCTTTGGCATTATATATGGATTTCCTAAATTTGAAATAGTAAAAAGATATCTTTTTTTTTCCAAAGGTGTTTTGTACACATGTTCTTTTGGAAAGGAAATAATTGAGTGATAATTAAAACTTTGTGATTTTAAGATAATAATGATTCCCTTTATTGACAATGATATGACCCTAATTAATTAAAGTTAACAAAGAAAGAAAGGAAATTGTGAGGTAGCCCCAACCCTTGTTGTCAACTTGTGAGGTACCAATAGCTATTCTACTTTGTTTTACATGTAAATGTTGATGAGATTTTGCCCTCTTGCTGACTTTGGCAAACATACTAATTAATTTATCCCAAACTATTAGGGTTGTGTATAGGTTAGTTCGATTCGATTTTGAAGTTAATTGATTTGATTTATTGGTTATTGATTTGTTGACATGTGAAATCGTTATAGAATCGTTAAGATATTAGCTTATTGGTTATTGGTTTGTCGGTTATTAACCGTTATCGATTCGATTATCGGTTTAACCGTTAAGGCATAATACATAAATATGTCCTTAAATTTGCTACAATTCACATCTATGCCCTCCATCTTTGGATGTGCACAAGTAGGCACTTAAACTTGTATAAAGTTGAACAAATAAACACACGCGTCCTATGTGGCATCCTGCATGACAATTTTCATCCTATGTGGTGTCCTATGTGTATTATGTCATGTAGGACTCATATGTCTACTTGTTCAACTTTATACAAGTTAAAGTGTCTACTTGTGCAAACCCAAAGTTGAAGGACATAAATATAACATGAGGTTAAGTTAAAGGGCACATTTATGTATTATGCCCAAAAAAAATCATGGAAAATCACTTAGAAACAAGGTGACAAACCAAATGAATCATGCACATGAGTTATCATAATGCATCTTGCTCAAAAGCAAACATTATCACATTGTAGAATAACCAAAAGTTTGAGAGAACCTAAGATAAAAGTATGAAACTAAACTCAGTCAATAACTTTATGTACCAAATGATATAAATATAATTATTCAATTTACTATCGGGTTATCGGTTAGTTAAGAATCGATAACTCGATATAAAAAAAATCAAAACCGTTATCGAAACCGCAAAATCAATCACCCATAATCGATAATCCAATAACTTTTTTTCGATTCAATTTAATTTTGAATAGCCTTACAAACTATCATTAGTTAGTGTATTATACTCTTATTATATTTTTTGTTGATTGTCAAAAAGCATCAAAGATGACATAGTCGGATCCTACTATAAATATTTTAAAGGTATCAGACTTATTTAAAATGTCTAAGTGAAATATTGTGCTAATACTAAGGGTCTACTGATAAGTTTTACCTTATAAAATGGTTTGATTGTATAAACAAAATAAATGTGCATATGCACACAACAATATGTGTGTATTAATATACTTTTTTTTCCTACCAACTTTTTTACTTTCTTCTCAACTTCAAAAGCATATGTAATGCTTTAGATATTTGGCTATTTCCATATACTTTTGGAAAGTTATAGCTGATTATTTGATAAGTCAAAGAATTGCTACTCCTTTATTAAAAGTAAAACTTTAACATAACTATTATCATTAAAATAAAACAAAAAAAGGGGCTTGCTTCAATTAATAAAGTTAACTTGTAAACCGTTCGTTTCTTTGTAGTCCACTATTCACTAACTAGTTGAAATAGTGATAAAAAGGAGGTTATGACGATCCAAATCCTAAAGTTAAATGATCTAGATAATTACTTGATAATGATTGATATGAATTGCATCGGGATAATTGAGATTCCTTCACCTTTAACAAAGGTTTTGGGTTCGAGCTCAAACTCTGAGAATGGAAAAAGATCATGTTGGGAGAATCCAAATTAGTTGGACTTGAATGAGAAATCAAAAAAAAAAAAACTTAAGAACGTATATAAAACAAAAGTAAACTCTAATAACATGTTTGGCCAAACTCTAAGGGATCGTTTGGTGTGAGAGGTAAAAATAAATAGTGAGAGGATGAGAAACGTGCTCAGTATGCATCGTCATTGAGCCTTTCCATTAATCTCAATGGATATGTGAATTCATTGAAAAAGAAGAAAAACAACAACTTTCAACCACTTTTAACTTATACCAATTTTATAACTCAATTTTAACTTTAATGCATGAGCTCCAATATTGATTTTCAACTCATATTTATTTTTAACGCATCGACTTCAATACCAAGTTTTAAACCATGCTTATTTTCAAAGTAGAATGCTTTTTTTCCGTTAGTCAAATTAAGGATCAAAAACACTCATATTACTTAAATTGAATATTAGTGCTTAGTCGAATATTAATGGGATTGATTTAATTTTCAATTTAACCTATACATTATACAATGTGAACAAAAGAATATGCAAATTTTGGTCTGAAAAGGATACATATAGAAAAAATTGAATAAATTATACTCTGGAAAGTGTATAAATATGCCACTTCGGTGGTGGCCCAATTGATTGAGCAAGTGATCTTTCGAATAAGAGTGTTAGTTTCAAATCGATCGAGCTCGTCGCAGGATTTGCTAAATGTACGAATATGGATATATGAATTAGTCTCACATATTTTAGGTTGCTCTAAATAAAATAGCCATATAAGTTGATGTACATTAGGTGAAGAAAGGGTGACCAGAATATGATTAAAAAAAATAATTATCTTATTTTTATTTTAGAAACAATTAATTTTAAATTTGTAATTCTATCTTTGATAAAAATGATTTCTACCCACATAATATTTATGGCTTATTTTAGATAATAAAATTTTAAAATATTTTAAAAGTAACTTCTATATATCTTCTATAACTTGCTACACAGAAATGTAAGAATTACAAAATACATCCAAATCTGGAAATGTATCATAAAATAAAACAAACTATAAGCCCAGTACCTAAAAGAATATACATGCCCCTGCATATATTTCCTGTTTGTGCCCTCAGCCTAATGACTTCAGATACAACTTGCAAAAAAGTTCCAAGCGGACGTGCCCTCAGCCTAATGACTTCAGACACAACTTGCATTCGAAGACGTTAATTTCCTTGGCCATGAAACTGTACTTGCTCTTTCTTCGAATCCGTTGGGGCAAGGAAATCTAAATCCAGATCTTCTGTACATACAGTATACTGGCATTCAGATTTCAAGTTACAATTTTTTTACTTTTCAGCGTGTCCTACTGCCTGAACCCCAGATTTAACGTCTGGTTCGGACATTGGATTCCAAATTGATCAACACTGTTCGTATACGCTTGGGAAAATCCATTCAGACTCTGCTGGAAGTAACTCGATTGATCAATCCGTTGATTTCTGTTCCCGCTTTCAACTTCTTCGTCTAGATTAATACTTTCAACCTTGGTGTTGCCTCGGAAATTCGTAGTAGGATGGGCATAAACATCGTTGAGAAAATTCATATTGTTGTTGTTGTGGTTGTGGATGTGGTTATTGACATTCCCCTGAGCCTGACCCTGAACGCCTGAAGCTTGATTTGCTGGGTGCAATTCCGGCATTGGTTTGAGCCCAGCAAGGATTGCCCAATCGAAATTGGCTGAATCCAGGCGTTCAAGGTTCAATTTCTCGGTCTTAAGAGAGTTTAATCTCGGTAAATTGGAGAATCGATCATCCATTTCTGGTAACGATTCAAGCATATCATCGAATTGGGATGAGGACGAAGTCGATGAACCGTGGCTGTACTCATTGCTGCTGTGTAAACCAGACATAAGAGGTTTTGGTCCACTTGAATTCTTCTTATAAATGCGACAAAGCACCCATTCATCTAGCTGAAATATACAAAAAAAAAAAATCAGATACAAATTAAAAAATGCAATTAGCCAAATTGAAATGGGATATAATTTCACATTTAGTCCTCTAAATTATTGAGAATTTAAACTTTATCCCTTATACTATTTGACTAAAGCACATTTTGACCTCAAATCACTAAAATGTATACTCTTGGTCCCTTTAGAGCACATCAAGTACAAATTCATCATATGGTATAACAAATATGAGTAATAATTCCCAATTTATGTGAAAACAAATTGTTGTTGCTGTAAATCAATTCATCGAAGTTAAAACATCTTTGATGAAGAGACACAAAGAGCTTAGTTATTAAATACATTTGTTAATAATTCACTAAATTTGCAAATATTCACAAGAAGGTAGATTAAAAGTGCACATTTCAATTGATCAAAGGTTAAATGCATAAATTTACCAATATTTGAAGGACTAAAAGTGCAAATATTCATCCAAAAAACAGAAAAAGAGAATAATGTTGAATTAAATTACCTTTGAACTTCCATTATTTTTCCTTGAAGATTCAAAAAGTCGATATTCATGCATAATCCAATTTGTCTTAGATCCTTTTGGAGCTTTACCCACATAAAACACAAGGGCTTTCTTAATTCCAACTTTTCTTCCTTGCGAAGTTATGATCTTATCCGTTCCCGTTGCTTTCCAATAACCGGAACCTGCTACTCTATTCGGTCTAGATCCATTCGGATACTTCCTATCCCTCGGACTGAAGAAATACCATTCTTTTTCTCCAAATGTCGCCTTACCTAATAACAAAAATTACACATAATCCATCATTTATCAAATTCAAATGATTAATAGTACAATATCATTTGGTGTGCATCATCTCGTAATTGAAAATAATTTAACTTAAATTTTCTCGTCAAGTCTTAACGACAAACTTCCAAATCTTACTTAAACTAAGGGCCCGTTTGGCCATGCGATATGGTTTCATGTTTTTTATTTAGGGAGGGAACTCCCACCCCTTTTTGCTCTCTTGACGATTCAAACTCGCAACCTTTGAGTTGGAAGTGAGGGTTGCTTAGCATCCGAGCAACTCTCCTTGTCGATTTCATGATATGGAATTAAAAGTTTGATTTTTTTTTTCTTCCTCATTCAAAATTCCAACACATAAATCATCATTTTATTATTACACAACTATATTTTCATATTAATTGATTCAAAATAACTAAAACTCAATTCTATATTTTAGATACAAATTGACTTTAATTATGAATCCATCCATTAAAACTAAAACAATAGGAGTAAAACTTTAATTAAACTAGAAACCACACGAAGATCGTGATGAAATGAATATAATTTCATTTATTCTTAAGCAGAAGTCTCAAATTAGTTAGAGATCAATTCGATAGTGAAAAATAAATATAAGAGATTGAATAAAACTAGAAACTTACTTGGTAGAACCCAAGGATCAAATTTGTATAAATCAATTTCTCCAATAATCTGTAGAGGAAAATCATGTCCAGCAACTTTCTTACACAAATATTGAACTAAAAGTTCTTCATCAGTTGGATAAAATCTGAATCCTGGTGGTAAACTTAATTGCAAAAGTGGATCTTTTTCTTGAACACCCATTTTTTTTTTTATTAACAAACTATTTTTTTTATCAAAAAAATATTTTGTTCAAAATTTCTAAACTTTTTTTTCTTTTGGAAATTGGGATAGTAGGGGGATTTATATATGGACGAAATTGGAAAAAGAGATAAGTATTATTGTCTTTTTCTTAAAATCTTGATAGTTCTAAAATGTGACACGTATTAAAAAGTTAGGCATTTTAATAGCCGACCTTATCAAGCAGTAAAGTTTTGGACCAAATACATGAATCTAAATAAAAAAAACAAGTTTCAAAAATATAATTTTAAAAAGTCTTTGAGGTCCCCTACTACGTGGCACTCTCTAATGTAACTTCTAGAAGATTGAATCTTTTGTTTTTCCGCCCACTTTTTATCTTAGATTAAAAGTAATATTTTTTTTATTTCGTTCTATTTTATATGAGTTATTTTATCTAGATACGATGTTTATGAAGAATTTTTTTTGTTTGAAATTTATGGTTTAAAGATAGATATTTGTGTGATTATAAATCATTTTGTTAATGATAATTTGAATATTTTTAAAGTTAAATTGTTAATTAATATAAAAATATGTCAAATAACTGAGATTGAAGAAGTAGTTTTTTTAGTCCATTAAAAAAGTTCTTGTTAATTTATTGATAATTATAATATTTTATTTTTTATATATAAATATTTAAAATTATTAGATTAAAATATTAATTTTAGTGTATTTTGTATATTTTCAAATTAAATTTTATATTAAAATTATGATAAATAAATTGAGACGGAGTGAGTAGTATTACTATTGTTTTTTTGGAAGAAGAGAAAGAGGTAAAGGCTGCTTGAATTTTGATTTTGGAATTTTATTACATTATCACAAGAAATTTTAACATGTGACAATTGAATGATTACATTAGTCCATCTGCATGTAAAATGGTCCTTTTTCATTCATTGACAATCATTTTAGCTTGAGATAATTATTATAATAAAATTAATATATTTAGTTATATGGTAACATAATTAGAGCTAAAATTCAAAATATCTTTATCAAGAATGAAACAGTTTCATCACTGTACTACATTTTCTTTTGATAATAATAACTATATTAGCTTACTAACATCATATCGTTTTTATTACTTTGTTAATAAGTCGATTAATGTAAATTTTTTTTTTTACATATTAGTAAATATTTTAAGGATTCATAGAGTGTGGGACACGTGCAAATACGTGGACAAAAAAAAGGGACTTAGCTGTTTTTTGGAATTGAGTGGTATTTTTTTTAAAATAATAATAATTGGGATGTGAAAGAGACTACAGAAGAAAAATCTTATAAAAATGTCATCTATGGACAACACGTATTCATTTTTTAAAATTAAATTTATAACGTTTTTTGTCATTCATTTTTCATTTTTCTTCTTTTTTCTAAAAAGTGAAAAATGACATTTGTCATTTGTGCATCTTTTTCTAGTTTTGGTGTTAGTGAAATTGATGAAAAAGTTATACTTACATTACACTATTTAATTATTCATGCATATATATAGATCTTTAATAATTGATATCTTATCCGTCGACTTTTAATTGTCATAATTTCTTTTTTAAGAGTTAAACTATAAGAATTCCTATTAATATTTTACGATGTATTTTTTCATCATATTGAGATTGAAAAAAATTACAATTTATAGTACTTTTCGTATAATTTTTAAATATCTAATTTTTATTTAAAATATCAAATTAATGTATCTAATTTAACTTTGAAAATTAGTTAAATTGACTTGAAAAAACACAACATAACAAATAAAAATAGACGGAGGGAGTATAACTTTAGTTTAGTATTATAGGAGCTAGGTTGATTTTTGGAATTGCTTAACGAGATAAGTTCTAATTATATTTTAAATATTTTTGGATTAACAGATTTTTTTTTATTGTGTGCTTCTGCCTCTTACTTTGTCGACAGTCTATTTGTCACTTCTAATGTTTAAAAATTTACTGAATAATTTATTCATCTAATCTATAGATCATCTATTCAAAATATAAAATCAACTAATAATACTCGAATCAAAATAGACTATTTATGTTATATTCCTTGAAATTGATCCTTTTTTGATCACTATATGAGCGTAAAATATTTTATATATATTAAACTACGCCTTTTTAATATCAAATTGATCGATCTGAAGTAAAAACTCTGTAAATATAACCTTTTTGCTCGGCTTCTCTACCATATTTTATTTCTTTTTACTATTTTTTTGTGAATAAAGTAAAGTTTAATAATTCTATTGATTGACGAATTTGAATTTTGATGTCTTACGTAATTTTCTTCCTCCCATACCCTCAATTATTTTAAATAAATAAAATAAAAAAATCAACCACTTTTTGGTTGATTAAGAAAAAACAATTGAGTTTTGAATTTTGATAGCGTTAAAGGGTATTTTCCTTCTTTTTCCCAATAATTTAGGTACACTACCACCCCCAAAAAAGTAAGGTCAAAGCTAATAAAATTATTCTTTGATTAAATACCTTTTATACTATAGTTCACGTGTCACTAATAAATTAAATCAAAGTGTATATTGATTGTGCTATTTTTTTTTTGGATTAAGATGACAATATTTATTATTTGGTAGGTCTAAATAGCCACGTTGATTTCTTTCAATGATTCGTATTTGATAACGTTTTATTTTGTTGTGTTTTCGACTTCTCAATTGCCACATGTCTTTTAGTTAATTGTATTTTTTTTGTTATTCACATAAAGTGAAGATATCTTTTTCACTTTCATTTCATCATCTTTTTATCTCATCTAAAATAGAAAGGAAAAAGATACTATTAATATAAATGTCTTTTGATTTTCTTCATTTTAATTTATGTGACTTATTTTAATTTTGAGGTTAAACATATCTATTTTTTTACCATACTCTTCTTTATCTTTTAATAAACTATGAAAGCGACTATTTGTATCACAACCCTTAAAATGCGATCATTTTTCAAATTCTACTAACGCTGCTTAATTACATCTCTCACACACACTCACTATATCTCTATATGTAAAAGGTTTTTTTGCCTTACGTAGGAACACAATGGAATTGAGTATACTTTAGTATAAAAAATGACATCAGAGTATTTTTTTTATTACTTCCATTTCTATTTTATGATTATTACTCCCATATAAATGGGGTGACATATTATAGTTTGTTATTACTTTCATTTTCTATTTTATGAAAAAAAACATATAGAATACAACCAAATATAAAATAAAATATGGAGTAAGCTAAGTGTAGCCACGTATAGTGAAAGGGAGTTGCCAATGCGGCAAGAAAAATATTAAATAACATCAAGGGGGGAAGGGAGAAAGTTGTTAGTAGGGCAAATTTAATACTATATATTAACCTACTTTTTTTTGTTTTGTTTATTTTATGCCATGTGTATGTTTTGATGATGATCCAAATGAGCATATTTGTCACTAGTTGAGTAAGGCTTATGTAATGCTGATTTAATAATCTCATTTTTTATTTATGATTGATTCTTGAAAGATTCATAAAATGTTGACAATTTTTTTTTTAATCTTTAGGGTTAGTATAGTATTTATGAACTATAAATATACTTACTTGGGTTGTTGGATGGAGTTGATCTTGGGTGAAAATTCTCCCAAGAATCAAGCTCTTAAAATTCTTTCTCTTGTTTAGGGCTAAGAAAATGTCGAATGTAATTAACACTTGTACGTACGCTATATGTCACGATCCAAAATCAAAGGTTATAACGATATCTATATTAATTCATCGATATGTAAGTCAAGTACTCCTCAAAGATAAGTGGAAGATCAAAGCAATAAAAATTAATAGCGACATATAAGCTTTAAAGTCGAACTTTAATAGATATTGATAGGATGTAAAATAATTGTATATATCCAAAATTAGTGTCATCGATACAAGAACATCTAAAACTGAAAACATACGTATGATCCAAAATTACAAGATTGTCTGAACAAAAAACTGGAAAATAAGATAGATGTAGCCATACATTGCTCTTCACGCCAAGTAGCTCACCCAAACTTTCAAATAAACGTTACCTCGAACAACAGAATCAAAAAGGCATGCAACTAGTGTTGGAGCAACATAAAAAAAAAAATGCAGCAAGAGTAGTATAAGTATGTTAATACATGTACTCAGTAGACATCATAAATTAACCAATCGCGAGCAAGAATTGAATAATTATATCTTAAAAATAAAATGAATCTAAACCAATTCAAAAACCTCAAACATAATACTCATGGAAAACAAGGAACATGCCATATAATTAATGTCTATTATTTAGGTCGCAACCTAGATTTAACATAAAGTCATTCTTCCTAATTTATTGAATCCACCAATACTCCCACACATATCACACTTGATACATAAATCACTTCCCAAGCTAATCTAAGAGAGTCATAACCTACATCGAAAATCGAGCAAATATTTCATGAACCATCATAAGATCACCTTCATTTTGAATCACTCCCGAAAGCTCTTACTCTATCAAAATCATCCTCTATGTGAGTATACAAGTCTATTTATATCCATATTGTTATATATAAAACTCTAATTCAAAAATTAAGTAAAAAAATCAACTATGAGCTACTGAGGTCAAAAGTCAACATTGATTTCAAAATTGATTTACACATAATGTAAAAGTCTTATGCACCAAAAATCAGCTAAATGCAACCACAAACCGAACTTTAAATAAAGAAAATATCAGTTTTAGAAACTTAATAAGAGAAAAATCATCCATCCAATCCATAAATAATCACCCAGACATAGTGAAATTGTCAAAATTCAAATCCCGCTTCGTCAATTCAAAATGTTGTCTTTGGTCCAACTTTTCAACTTTTAAACTTCAAAACTGAAATCTATCTTGTAATGCATCCTATCATCTCGAAAATCATATCACTCGACTAGGGACTTCATTAACTTTATAAAATTTGTTTTTATACCTATTTTTCAATAAATATCAGTATTTTAATATTTATCTAACCAGTGAATGACCTTCGATTTGATCAGTTGAAATAGTCCGTCGATTTTTCCTTATCGAGACTCCATTTTTCAAAATTGTCAAGCCCATCAATTTTTTTCTCAATTTTACTTATAAATAACAGATGCCAGTCAATTTATTTTGACCCTCGATTTTTGACCTATTCTTATTATTGTCCTGTCTTTCACTTATTAGTAAAACAAAAACATCGTATATTGGTGTAGATATGTCCAAATGACGACGAATGACTTATAATGTTAAAAACTAGATTCAAAAGGCTTTAATTTGATACGTTATCTACAACATATATAACTTATTAATAATTGGGAGTACGTAGCTTTCCTTTTAAGTTAGGCTCATCAAAAACTTTAGTCCATGGTAATGTTTTTCCAACTTGACTTGGTCTTAGGTCTAATCTCTTTAGACCCTAAATTACTTACAACACACCTTGTATACTTATCATCATATTGAATATCGAGTATCTATTGGTCCATAACTTTTCTTGGCATACACACAAACATAATATATTTAATATTGTTATGTTGCCAACGCGCTTTAAACTACTGATAACGTGAAGAATTATATTCTTACCTAACTTGTTTTGGTAGTTATTTATTATAATCATCATATGATGACAATCAATTTTTTCGGTTCAATATTTGATATTTGTATTTGAATTTGATTATTTTGAATTTGCGTCATGTAAGGCCTCATATTCGAGGGTATGCACTTTCTATCAGGAATTTTTTCATACTCAAGATTCAAGTTCGAAATCTCTGATTCAGAGAAGAACAACCTCATCTGCTGCACCACATCTGTTGGCGAAGTATTAGATTAAAAGAGATAAATTTTGTCAAAGACATTATTTCATTTCTCACACGTGAAAGCTATGATGTGAGTGCTATATTTTTTTTTTTAATGAATATATAATATAATAATTATAAGAATGGCATATTCGATGGATTTATAGTCAAATTCAAATAAAGACGCAGACATTCGTCTATGACTTATGACTTGTATTATGGCAATTCACAAACAAGAAACAAAATATTGTGTTCGTGGGGGCGCCATTCTATGTCCACTTTCATAAATAGGCCAACTAATTTTTCGGGTGTTAAATAGACGGATTGAATTGAACTGAATTTGAGAATGTCAAAATAAATTGAGTTAATAAATAGGTGAGTCGTTAACCCACTTAAATATTATTTCAACAAAGAGGATTGAGCTGAAATGAGCTAAAAAATTGTGACATAGTCAATCTAGGCTACGTATCAGTACAATAAATGAGTTGAACTAAACGGATCAAAATGAGTCAAGTTAATAAAATGAGTGGGTTATTAACACTATCATTTTATTGTCTAATTTTGCCACTTATTTTATAGAGTTAAAAGTATTTGATTTTGAGGCAGAATTGCAATTTTGAGTTTATAAAGTTTAAATTTTAAACAAGGTAACTTACTAGGTTTTGACTAAATTATTTGCATATAATAAAGGGAATGTATTTTGTAAATATACATATATGAATTTAATATTGAGTTCAAACTATTCATTTCACAACTCAAATTTGACATTCATGCTACAATGGGGTACCTACCTGATAAGCTACTATTCATAAGGCAAACCTTTTAAATTAAAATATACAATTATATAAAGAAGAAAGAAGAACTATATAATATAATAATATATAATATTATAAATAATATAAGTAGAAGCTGAGTAAAAGGATAATATCGAACTAAACACGCTCTTTAATTTGGCAATGAATGCATATATATGCCAATGTCAAGCATATATAATAAAAAGACATTACATAAACACACTCTTTAATTTGGCTTCATCTGATATCTATCAAGGTTTGGGCAGTTGTGGAAAACTTAATCAAGCGTATTTTTGTCTCTGATGAATGAACCTTGATCACCAAGTTTCCATCCACTATATTAACCAATAAACGACACGTCCCAGTCTCTACTAGAATTAGAACCTTGATTATCAAAATTGTCACTCACTTCATTGACTACTACAACAAACTTGAAATGTCTACACTTTACTTGTGGCAAAAGAGTCAAACAATGTAGTACTAGTAAATGTTTCTCAAACTTTTGATAGATAGTCTAGAAACCAAAATTACAAATGGGACATTTCTACACTCTTTTGAGTAAAGCAAAATCTATTTCTTTGTTACACCAACCCTCATAAGAGCAACATAAGCCAAGAACCTATAACCAAAAAACATAACAGCCAATGCAACCATTGAAATGCCTTTACCTCCAATCCCTATAGTCTTTATGGTAGGAAAATCTTCAACCAGACACGTCGCGTTTATGCCACATGAATACGTTTCCCCATGATTATACTGTGACCCCAACAAGAGCTTATACGTGTACTGGCTAATCGATATGTACTTTATCCAGGAAATGAACCACGGGACATGTTGAACGAAGTACCCTCCTGCTAAGGTGAACGATAGAATGATGACTGAACCGAGTACAGTAGCTGATTCTTGGTCCATGATCATTGCACCAAGAGCTAGCCCGAGGCCTTGGGAGACTAATACATTGTAGAGGATGCTGAATAAGGTAGAGAAAAAGTTCAACGCGGATGGTTTTAGGCCAGTCATCCAGTATGTTATAACGGTGAAAATAGTTGGAAGGACTAGCTCCATTGGAAGGTCACCTATAGTCCTAGCCATAAAATACGCGGAGAGTCTATACATGCCTGATGATCTTTCTTTCTCCAACATCATCCTCTCTTGTGGGAAGGTAAAAATAGCTTGTAACAAGGGGAAAAATGACCAGAAATCAGTGTAGAAGAACATAAGTCCAACCTGCACCAAGTTAACAATTACATCGTAAAAGAATTGTTATACTATTAGATCATCTAATCAAAGATAACTACATGTCTAACGAGGAGAAGTATCGATTACCTGATCTTGAATGTTATTAGATTTCCACCATAACAATCCACACAAGAAAGCCACCACCAAGACCTCTCCAACCTTGAGGCTAGAGAAGGACTCGTGTTTTCGTTCTTTCATCCCTCTTCTAAACAACACTGCGAATTGCTGCCACCAGGTATTCGACCATTGAGTAAATTTCTTCTCATGTAGTTTCTCCACAACCTGATGAACGTCAGATTCTTGAAATTGCTCCTTCATGTTCTCCACTAGATTGGTTTTGAAAGCAGTTACCAAAGTTTTCTTGATTGAAGCTGGATCTTCTATAGGAGTATCTGCTAATACGCGAGGATCATCCGAAAGTATACCTAACATATCAAATAACACCAGTTTATCAGTCATCATACTGTTTGCCTAAAAGACAACGTACATCATGACCGTCTCAGCACAACGAGATGGGGTACTGTTAGTGGCAGAGTGGCCTTGCTGTTATGATCCATGATATTCAGCCCTTTGTAACTCTGATTCGTAAAAGAAAAGCAAAAGTCTTCATACATGAAATTACTATATATATATATATATATATATATACAGATGAAACATACCATTTGAAAGATCCAACAAGAAGTCTGAGGGATTCATAGCAACTAACGGGGAAAATCCGATGCCTGAAAAATATCCCATAGCATCTTCTCCTCTGCCAAAATACAGGGGATTTCCTTCGGATAACAACAACACTTTCTTGAACATGTAAAACAGCCTACTCGAAGGTTGATGTATCGTTAGCACAACCGTCCTTCCACCCTTTGCTAAATCCCTTAAAGTCGACACAATCCTTAACGCTGTAGTAGAATCAAGCCCTGATGTTGGTTCATCCAAGAACAACAAACTCGGGTTAATAAGCATTTCTTGTCCAATACTTACTCTTTTCCTCTCCCCACCCGATATCCCTCTCAAAAATGGACCTCCAACGATGATATCCTTGCACTTTGTCAATCCAAGTTGAGTTATAATTGCTTCAGCATGCGCGGTTTTCTCCTCAACTGTAAATGTTTTAGGCAAACGAAGGAGAGCAGTGAACACAAGTGTTTCGGACACTGTAAGGTGAGGGTAAAGAACATCATCTTGAGTAACAAAGCCCGTGTTACGATTCATGGCATTGGAAAATGTCTTGTTATTATACGTTATAACGCCTTTGAGATGCCCATTAACGAGCCTGCCTCCGAGTCCTGTTAGCAGAGTTGTTTTTCCACTTCCTGAAGGGCCTAATATCGCCAGCATTTCACCTGGAGAAACGATCCCCGAGACGCCCTTCAAGATTATTTTCTCTTCATTTGATTTAGGTGAATTCTTGAAACACCCTTCTTTCACGAGATTGATCTTGTAAACAACATTCTCAAACTGCAATATTACTCAAGCCATTACATTTTCAGAAATATTATAAAAGAGAGGAACTATTTTTTAACTTCTGGCATGCTCAATTCATGTATATATATAACATCTTTGTGGCTAAGGGGCGGAGCTAATAAGGACTCAGGGATAAGGGGTGAAGCTAGTAAGGACATAGGGATAAGAGGCGGAGCTAGTAAGGACTCAGGGATAAGAGGCGTAGCTAGTAAGGACTCAAGAATAAGGAGCGGAGCTAGTAAGGACACCGGGATAAGGAGCGGAGCTAGTAAGGACTCCGGGATAAGGGGCGGAGCTAGTAAGGACACAGGGATAAGGGGCGGAGCTAGTAAGGACTCCGGGATTAGGGGCGGAGCCAGTAAGGACACAGGGATAAGGGGTGGAGCTAGTATGGACACATGGATAAGGGGCGGAGCTAGTAAGGACTCCGGGATAAGGGGCGGAGCTAGTAAGGACACAGGGATAAGGGGCGAAGCTAGTAAGGACTCAATGATAAGGGGTGGAGCTAGTAAAGACTCAGGGGCGGAGCTAGTCACACCTCAAAAATTCATTTAATATGAATGAAGAGTAATAAGTATTTCTTAGGTCTCATCGAGCCTAACTCAGTTTTGTTAGAGATCGCTTTACCCCTAATATGAAACTTCCTGACCAACACAAAGTGGTAAACAAAACAAAAAATCACATAAAATATTTAAAGAATTACCTTAAGAGTGACAGGACGATTAATGTTGTTGAAAATAACTTCAATTTTAGAATGATCAGTGTGTTGATTTTGTTGTTGGGACAATATATTCTCCATCTTTAATTATTCCATGTTTAGAAACTCTTGGGGCTCTCTATTTAATAGAATTTAAAATCAAGACTTCTTTGATGACTTCTTTTTTCTCTCCTAAATTCTTGGAAATACATATGGACTGATTAATATATAGAGGCGATCAAAAGTAATTCAGTTGATTGATTATCTGAAATTTCACTTTGTTTGTGCGGTTCCATTTTCCCGTTCCCCATTTCAAACAAACAAACAAAAAAACAATTTATGAGGAAATGGAGAGTAATGAATTTATTGATTAGGTTGTCAAAATTTGGTCATTTGCAAAAGCATAATTATTTATAAAGATAATTTAGCTAAACAAACCTCTAATAAATATTTCCTTCGTCTCATTTTATATCGTTTTATCTCAAAGAAATCGTCACAAAATAATTATCACTTTAGAAATTCAAGAATAAAGTTCATGACAATTGTTTCCAACTACTAAAGTTAAACATTAAAGAAGTGTGCACAATATTTTAAAGGGTTATTGCTCGAATAATAACGACTATATATCTATTTTGTACTCATATAAACAAGAGTTAAAAACTAGCTGCACCCATGTACTCCTTCGTCGTAGTTTACGTGACATTATTTTCCTTTTAGTAGGAAAGAATGACATCTTTTTATATTAACTATATATACCTCTCTTGTGTTTGCAAGCTATTGCAAGGAACATAGGTTTTATTTTGTGCGCACCCAAAGAATAGCGCTGCAGATTTCCCTTGTCATAAAAAAAAAGTCTAGAGACCAAATAGAGTTACATAAATTGCATGTTCTTAGTATAATACAGTAAAACAAATTAAGAATTTCTCGACAATTATATAATTATCTATATATTATATTTAGCGGCAATAATAAATATGGGTATTTATAACCAGCACTCTATATAAAATGTTACTGAAGACTTTAGCAACTCTAAATACAATGACATTAAGTCATTAACTCAATTACCGCTAAATATTTTTGCGGCAATAAATGTTACCACTAAAAGGAACATGACTAGCATATCTCAGCAGAAAACAAACTAAAATTACAAATGGAAACACTTCCTACAAAATCTTTGAGTAAAGCAAAATCTATTTCTTTGTCACACCAATCCTCATAAGAGCAACATAAGCCAAGAACCTAAAACCAAAAAGCATAACAGCCAATGCAACAATTGAGATGCCTTTACCTCCAAGCCCTATAGTTTTTATGGAAGGAGAATCTTCAACCAGACACGTCGCGTTTAGGCCACATGAATACGTTTCCCCCGGACTATATTGAGACCCCAACAAGAGCTTGTACGCGTACTGAGTTATTGATACGTGCTTTATCCAGGCAATGAACCTCGGGACATGCTGAACATAGAACCCTCCAGCTAAGGTAAACGATATCAAGATGACTAAAGCGAGTACAGTAGCTGACTTTTCGTCCATGACCATTGCACCAATAGCAAGTCCAAGGCTTTGGGAGACTAATACATTGTAGAGGAGGCTGAATAAAGTAGAGAAGAACCTCCCCGCGGATGGTTTTAGGCCAGCCATCCAGTATGTTATAACAGTGGAAATAGTCGGAAGGACTAGCTCCATCGGAAGATCACCTACAGTCATAGCCATAAAGTACGCGGAGAGCCTATACATGCCAGATGATCTTTCTTTCTCCAGCATCATCCTTTCTTGTGGGAAGGTAAAAATACCTTGGAACACAGAATAAAACTCCCAGAAACTAGTGTAGAAGAACAGAAGGCCTGTCTGCAACACTTAACAAATGACATTAATTCAACTTCGATAAATGCACCAATCACATCGTAAAAAGAGTTTTTTACACTATCAGATCACCTAATTATAAGATTAACTACATGTAACGTGTATTCGTTAATAACAACCTGGTTATAACAGGTGAAATTACACTGGTTAGCTTAATTCTTTATAGTACCAATTTTATAATAACAACACATATACACCCGGTGTTATCCCACAGGTGGGGTGGAGACGGTAAGTGTAAGCTAGACCTTACCAGTACCTCGTGAAGGTAGAGTGTATATACCAATTTAATATCTTCAACGGCTTACTTCACGTAAAGTTAACAATTACCTGATCTTGAATGTTGTTAGATTTCCACCATAACAATCCACTGAAGAAAGACATCACCAAGACTTCTCCAACCTTAAGGTTAGATAAGGACTCGTGTTTTCGTTCTTTCATCCCTCTTCTCAATAACACTGAGAATTGCTGCCACCATGTATTCGACCATTGACTGAATTTCTTTTCAGGTAATTTTTCAGTTGCCTGGTGATCAATAGATTCTTGCAACTGTTCGTTCAAGTTCTTCGCTAGATTGGTTTTGAAAGCAGTTACCAAAGTTTGTTTGATTGATGCTGGATCTTCTCTAGGAGCATCAGATAATACGCGAGGATCATCAGATAGTATACCTAAGAAATTAAAATCACACAAGTTTACTAGCTAGTCATTCATATCGTTTGCCTAAATGAGAACGTGTATTATTAGTTGGAACTTAGAAATATACAATCGCGAAGATAATAAACCACACATGATGATGGGTATTGTAAATAGCAGAGTGGCTTTGCTGACATGATCCACGGAGATTCAGCCCCTTGTCTATCCGATTCATGAAAGACCAAAAAGGTCTAACTACATGAAATTACTATCTATAACAAAGAAGGATAGATAAACATACCACTTGATAGATCCAATAAGAAGTCCGATGGATTCATAGCAACTAACGGGGGAAATCCGATGCCTGAAAAATATCCCATTGCATCTTTACCTCTGCCAAAATACAGGGGATTTCCTTCGGATAACAGCAACACTTTGTCGAACATGTAAAATAGCCTACTAGAAGGCTGATGTATTGTCATTGCAACTGTCCTGCCACCGTTTGCTAAATCTTTTAACGTAGACACAATCCTTAAAGCTGTAGTAGAATCAAGCCCCGATGTTGGTTCATCCAAGAGCAATAAACTCGGATTGATAAGCATTTCTTGCCCAATACTTACTCTTTTCCTCTCCCCACCGGATATCCCTCTCAAAAGCGAATCTCCAATGATGCTATCCTTGCACTTTGTTAATCCAAGTTGAGGTATAATTGCATCACAATGCGCGGTTTTTTCCTCAACTGAATAAGTTTTAGGCAAACGGAGGAGGGCAGTGAACACAAGCGTTTCGTACACTGTAAGGTGAGGATAAAGAACATCATCTTGAGTAACAAAACCAATACTACGCTTCATGGAACTAGAAAAGGGGTTATTATTGTACGTTATAACGCCATCTAGATGGCCCTTAACGAGCCTGCCTCCGAGTCCTGTTAGCAGAGTTGTTTTTCCACATCCTGAAGGGCCTAATATCGCCAGCATTTCTCCTGGATAAACGATCCCCGAGACATCCTTCAAGATTATTTTCTCCTCCTCTGATTTTGATGAATTCTTCAAACACCCTTCTTTTACAAGCTTAATCTTGTAAGCAACATTCTCAAACTGCAAAAACACCCAATGCATTATCTTTAGCAAATAAGTTGAAGAGTTTAACTTCTACACATTCAATAATTTTTACACAATCTTATCATCTAAACTATGTACAATCATACAAAATTGAATCAGTTTGAATGATTCTGATACCATTTGTAACGGCCATCCCGCTAATGATATTGTTCGATTTGGGCCTAGATCCGTACGGTTTTAAAATGTGTCACTAGTGTGTCAGGTCTGCTTACTTATATACCAACATCTCTGTTGTGTTTTGCTGATGTGAAACTTCTTATCTTAAGTTGAGGTATCAGACTCTTGCTTAGTAGCTAGTTTATTATGCAAATCAATTGTATATTTGTAGTCATGATATAATTATCGATCAGATATACAAATCAATTGTATTTCTCTCATCTCTTCTAGATCTCGCTCGCCTCTCTCTCTTCTAACATGTAGCTACAAATCCTTATTATAGAAACATTAGCTAAGAATCCTTATTACAAATTCTGATAAATAAAAGCCTAATTTGGATCGGCTCACTCTTGTCCATACGGTACATATGTAAGACCTCTTTAGGTCCTATTTCGGATACACAAGAGAATCAAATCGCAAATTTTGACACATAATTTTCAGCCCTAGAAGCCAACTTCAAATTGTGATTCCCGCTTCGTTCCTTATCTAATTGAGCTAATTTGCCACTAGCTTCCCCAAACATTACTAGTAAGAGCCATGCATATTAAGTTATAATATATCATCTTGTCTACGAAAAAAACCTAATGTGGAACTTCTAGAGTAACACCAAGAAAACAATAAAACAAAAAATGATATGAAATATTTAAAGAATTACCTTAAGAGTGATGGGACGATTAGTGTTGTCAAAGATAACTTCACTTTTAGAATGATGAATGTGTAGAGGACTCTCTATATTCTCCATCTCTTGTTCCATGTTTAGAATTATAAATAATAATACTGATATATTTCAAAATCAAGAAGCAATTATAGATGAATTTGATGAATTTCATTTTTCTATAATGAATTCTTGGGAATATATATGGACTAATGTATAGAGACAATAGAAAGTAATTAATAGTTTTAAGAGGAGTAAGACTCTACAAACGTTACAAGGAAATAAAAATTAAAGAGTCATGGTCAAAGATTCATTGTATTTGAATTTTCAGATCCAAGTTATGTATTCCTTTCGTTTCTTTTTAGTTGTCTTTTTGAGAGTCAGTTTCACTAATTTTTTCAAAGGCAAATTAAATTATATTAATTTGATATTTTAAAATAAAAAATTAGATATTCAAAAACTATTTAAAAAGTAGTACTATAAGTTGTAATTTTATATTACAATATTATAAAAGTATGAATAATAATGTTGGTTGACCAAAATATTCTTCGAATGATTTATATGCCTTTTTAGTCTAATTCTATCATATTTTGGTTGGTAACTTGGAAAACTAAAAAATATCACATAATGAAAATAGTGCGACAAATATTACTTCCAAATGACACATATATATGTAAA